GAAAGCCACTTCAGCATGAGTTCGATCCCTGTCCTGGAAGTGATCCATATGGAGCAGCAGACCTCCCCTGATGGGCCTACTACTCCCTCAACAGTGTACTTTGTTAATCTTCCTGCTCTGCTCCCCACTCTATCTCTGGCCCTGCACCTCTGTGTGCATAAATAAATAAATCTTTAAGGAAAAAAAAAGACATTACAGATTGATGATATTAGTCATTTTACCAATTTCATTTATTTTTTAATTTTTAAAAGAAGATTTTTTATTTATTTATGCAAATAAAAACTGGGTTGTAGGCCATAGGTGTGGGGGAGTAAGAGGATTCACCAGAGACAGAGTGGGGAGCAGAACAAATAGATGACTGAAACACATTGCTGAGGGGAGCACTGGCTAAGACAGAAGTCTGCTGTGCCATGTGGGTCACCTCCCTGGCTGGGATTGAACTCATGCTGCAGTGGCTGGCAAGAGCTTGATGTGCTGAGACTTTAACCCCTGTGCCACCAGGGAGGCCCCTTGCCAATTTCGTTTAAAGTCACATTCTTTTTCTATGACAGATGTTTGTTAGTAATTATACTTTAAGGTCTTTAAATAGTAACTACTAGATTACTATTTTCGATAAATACATTAATACAACAAAAGGAGGAAAACAAAAAATGAGATACATTTCACATCTTGTCAAATGCTGAATGACAGAGGAGAATAAATTGTGTGTATAAATTGTGTGTGTGTATGGGTGTAGAAGAGAGAGAAACCACCAGAGGCACTAGTGCACTAAAAGCACTAAGGAAGGCAAACTAAGAAAGGGCACATGTGCATAATTCCCTCCGGTTAAAAATTAGGAGGTTATAATGAGTTAGCTATATTGAATGGGATAAACTCTAGGGATCATCAGTAGGTACACCATCCATCCAAGACATTTTGGTGTGCTTGGGAGAACATCCAGAATGGAAGAATTCCTGGAGTTCAAAATGTTTTAGTTGAATATAGAAATGAGATTGCACTTTCAGAATTATTTGTCCATTACTAATCATCTTTCTTTTTTCACCACCCTCTCCTCTGTCTCTGTCTATTCTCTCAAGCCTAAGTCGTCAATCTTAGTGAAAATGATCATAGGTAATCTCGTAAGAGAATGTTTTAACCAGCAGCAGATATAAAAACTGTAAAAGTTTATTTTTAAAATGAACCTACCTTGATAGTTGGTCTTGATGGATAACTAAAAGAAACATTTTTAAATTCCACTGTTCCTTCTATGCATTCAGGTTTATACCCCATGGTTGAAAAGTTATCTATAGTAGGTTTCTTGGAAAAAACAAAAGAACTATTACAAATCTTTAAGGGGGAGGGTAAATTAAAACTCTACATATCCTAAATATAGCTTAATGATATTTCTTATGTCTCCTTTCCTGGTTTAGAAGTAGATGGGAAAGTTTTAATACATTGAATGAGTTTGTAAAAGAGTAAAAACAATCCCTTCTTTCATAGCTAACTAGCCAACATGGATTTTGCCCATCTTTTTGTGTACTGAAGTGAGAAGCGAGAGCATCTGTTTGTTTTTTTTTTCCCCATTTCCTTCTTGTAGTAACAGTAGCTATCATTTAAAGCATTTAAAGTCTTACCTTATCAATAACCTGGAAGATACTATAGGCAGCTCCTCGGGCGATAGTGAAGGTTTCAAAATTGGGGGCTGCTGCTCCAATGCAATAGCTACTGTGGATTACACTAAAGAAAACCTACAGGGCCAAAAAAAAAAAAAAAAAGACCCTTCCTCAGTTATGTAAGCCAGATGATGGAACGAAGTGTACATTTGGTGAAGACTCACAGAAAGATTTTAGAATAATTAGGAAAGAAATTAGGAAGTTAGGTAGGACAGAATAGAAGGTGCTGCCAAATAGAAAAAACAAAAAAACACCACTTTATCCAAGTATATTTGGCCTTTTCCTAATATAGAACAATTTTCGATTGTACCATAGTCTTGTTTTTATCATTTTCAGGGATTTCTGTGGGTGGGAGTAGCAGTGTGTGGCAATGTGGCTCAATTACAAAATGCTGGCCACAAGCAAGCATGGTTGGGTGAGGAGATGACTTCTTCCTGATCAACCTCTGAGCTTTAAAGAGAAGAATGACAGGTTTTTTAGCTTAGAGTCACTGTTCTATTTCTGCCCAAACTTTTCTGATGTTTGTATTTCTGGTTGCTTTTTCATTTCTAGACAGACAAATCTCTGAGAAAAGTTAGATAAAGAAAGAACCCTACATGGTTGGTGTTATTTTTCTCTTATAGGTGAGGAAACTAAGGCTTAGTTAAGTTACTTGATCACACTTATTCATAAATTGAGGAGCAAGAATGCACCAGAAATCCCTCATCATCAGGTTCAAGTTATGTGAAATAAATGAGCATCTGAAAGTGTCAATTATTAAAGTTTTAAATCCAAAAGATGATTTTGGTTGAAAGAAAAAAAAATATATATAAATGGGAAAGCCAGTTGAGAAATGAAATAGATTAACCATGTCAGTTCAGTTCAATGAAACAAATAGTTCATAAATCTGAAATGATCTGTATAGTACTAACTTGTGGGAGGATAACAAAATGAATGGTAATTTATTGCATTACCCCTAGGGGTTCTAAAAAATTCTAAACTGTGATGTTGAACAGAATTGCATATAGTCTGTTTTTAACATAACTATGCTGAAAGGATGGAGGAAGGGCAGCAGAGTCCAATCTACAGAGCATATCCAGAGGGAAGACATTTAACAAGGTGACTGTACAATGCTGTCTTACCATAGCAAGACTGAAAGGAAATGTCTCACTAGAAATTGATCACTTTAACTGTTGGATTAAAAAATCTCTAAGAAAAGTGCATGCATTTAGAAGGCATGCCAATTTATAATTTAAACATGGATACAAATAATTTGATGGTAACAAATTTTTGTATTAAAACACTGAATATTCATTATCATTCAAAGATAATTTTTTATTAACTTCTTGGTAAGAAAATACTGTCTAGGCCAGCTACCTTTGCTCTTAAATAAGACTTACAGCAAGAACAGTCCCGATGGTATACCCAGCTTCTCCGCTAAGAATTAAGGAGGTTCCATACCAAAAAGCAAGTCCATAAGTTCCATTCATAAAGAAATACACAGCACCAAGAGAGAGTTTTGAAGCTACAGTCTTTTTTATGCCAACATCCTTTGCATCTTTTAGATTCTGTGTATACCTTAAAAAGATAGAACACAATGTAACAGTGTTGAGGAAAAGTAAAACTAAACATATATTGTTGAAATTAAAAGGACAGACCTTTGAATTTCTTTTTCCTGAGCGCCAAAGGCTATGACTGTTCTGATTGATGACAAGACTTCTTCTGCTACAGCTCCAGCTTTGGAATATGCATTTAATTCTTTACCAGTCAATGAGATGATTATCTGTAATAAGCCATGATCACAGTTATTCAAGAATGATCCTGACATAGCAAACTATTAATTCAAGTAGAATCTTGAAAAAGAGGTTATATTATTGAAAACATAGTTAATATCACTTAATCTGAATTTGTCAGTTTGCAAATGAGGAAACTAATGGCCAGAGACATTAAAAGCTACTTTTTAAAAAGTCTCATGGCAGTGAAAGAGCTTAGCCTAACATCATCTAGAATCTGAAAATCTATTCTTCCTTCCACCAGGAGAGTTTCATTGTTTTCTCTCTGTATATTTAAAAGTTATTTTTAGAAGATGGATATTTATATAAATGTAACTGGGGAACAACTGATTTGGAGAAGGACAAGGGTCACAGAATTGTAGAAGGATGAGGAAGATGATCTTACATTTGTCTGGGGTGCGATTATAACTGCATAATGCAGACTTCCTAGTAAAATGCTGTTATCTCTAAACACTAAGGTGGCATTTTAGGAAGAGGATACTTTTCTTGGTGATATCAGGCTAGTTTATTTAATTTCTCAAATATATTTAATCAGAATATGGCTTTTCCTCTACTAAAGATCTCCCTTACTACTCATTTACTTAGTAAAGGATTCAGTTTAGTAATCAGCACAATGTTTAAAGAAAGGGTTCTCAGGGAAATTGTCCTCAGGGAACTGTGACTTTGGAACTGTTGCGAACTCACGTGACAAATTTATACAATCTCAAAATACATTTCTTGTAAGTGGAGCTGATTTTACATAAAACATACTTGGAGAATTGTTAAAGTCAGAACATAGCATAAGCTGAACAATACTCTTCATTTTCTGAATTCACTTAATAATGACAATTATTCTTATATTGCTGGAGGGGAAACAGCACCTAGCAAAAAGCTTCTGTACTTAAGGAGTATTTAATAAATGTTTGCCAAATTAAATTGAATTGAAGGAAGCTAGAAACCATATATGCTAGCTTCTCTAGTTATCTGGATAACTTTGACCTTTACTTTCTTCCTCTCCCAATCAGTTAGTACAAAAGCAGTACTTAAGATTCTGGCTACTGTTCCTTTTAAACCCCCAATTCATTTCACTTTTCCAGGCAGCTAAGGCTCTAATCTTAGTAATTTAATATGGATAATTTTCCTACTTGGGGTACCCATTTCAAATAATCTGGGGATGAAGATTGTGATAAGGGTTACAAAGTCAACATTAAACTTACCCCAAAATAAAAGCTTGTTGTCTAAACATCCAAGCCCATTGTTAAGAAATTACTCAGCCATAGAATATTTTTACTGCCAAAATATTCTTCTTTGGTTGAATTTGTATGTTGATAAAAGTAAACAGTAAATTTTTGGCTTTGATTTTCATAAAAAACAGATTTGCAAAATTAAAAACTCCAAAAGAATATACAACATATATTCCTCTAGCATGCATCGTGCCTCTATTTTAGGAGAAGGGTACATAACTGGGAAAACTGTTAAAGATATCATTTGGAGAACAATCATAGTTGTTTTTGGACTTTACAAGTTGCATTGTTTTCAAGACCAGCCTGTGAATAAATTAATATTGTATGTTCATAGTCTAACTGCAAAGAACATACATTATAATACAGATACAGTAGTTTCCTGTTCTCTAGGAAGGATACCTCCCACGGCCCCAATGAATGCCTGAACTGTGGATAGTACCAAACATAGATATAATATTCTTTGCCAATACATACACACATACCTGTGATAAAAGTTAATTAAAAAATCAGGCCAAATAAGATTAGTGAGATAGCTAAAAATAAAATATCACAATATAACAATATAAAAGTTATGTGAGTGTGGTCTTTCTTCTCTTTCAAAACATATAGTTCTACATAATATTTTCAGACTGAGGTTGACCATAGGTAACTAAAACTACAGAACTATAAACTGTACATAAGGGGAATGACTATGATAATTGGTTTTAAAGCACTGAAACAGATTTACATAATACATAAAATTGACAAAGCAGACATTTTAAAAGCAATTTAGAATTGTATGAAAATATATAAATTTGAAATAGCTGACATATTTAAGTGTTTATTGTTTTAGGATTTTTTTCTTATGTTCTAGTGAAATGATTTATAGGACATTTATTTGGAAATTTAAACTACCCAAGGCTCTGGTGGTATCTACTGTATAGTAGAATAACATTTATCATACCATTATTTGAAATTGCATTAGCCTATTAAATGAACAGACATGTTTTCCAGTGTTAGTAAGATAGTAAAACTAAACCTCATTGTAACAACTTGAAAGATATCCATTTAAAATAAGTGATTAATGATGATAATCATTTGTGGTGTATAATACCCCTTGGGTAGATATGCCTTTTTTTGAAAAGCATAATAAAAGATTTACTTTACATTCCTTCTTCCAATAACATCAACTTAGTCATCTTGCCTACCCTAGAAAACATGGCTGCTGAAGCAATTATAAGAGGAGATGTGGAGAGAGTCACCAGGGTGAGTTTCCAGCCTTTCACCAAACCAATCGCCAAGCCAATAGAAAAAGTAGATATGTTTTGAAACAACAGAGCAATCTTGTCTCCAATACCATCATTGATTTTGCTGATATCACTGAAACAAGTAAATAAATACAGTTAAGTAATTTATACATTATAATTGAATACAAAGTTGAAATACTACAAAGTCGAAATACTACAAAGTCATCCTCTTACTCCGTCATGCGAGTGTTAAGTTCACCAATGTCACATCTGTCAAACCAGCTGATGTCCTGTGCCAAAATTGAATGAAAAAACTGTTTTCGAATTCTCTTGGTCTGTCGTGCTGCAGTCATAACCCAAAAAGAAATCTGCATGTAGCCAAAAACCAAAGCTGTAACACCTACTCCAACATAGTAAAGGGTCAACCTGAAAAAAGATTATTGAAAATCTTAGTAAGATGAAGCAAAACTTTTTCTCCTTGTTGCCAAAAAGACATATCTATCAATATATCAATACTTGAGAGATAATGCTAGAACCTGTAAAAATTAAAAAAAAAAATGAGAAAGAGTAAAGTATATTCAATGTATGAACCTAGTTTCCATAGTAAGACAACTACTGTGTATCTCTCATTATTAGCAGAAACTAATATTTAAGGTATATTTTTATCTTCTTTTTTATAAAAAATCACATTGAAACAGTTGTATGTGGAACAGGAAGGTAAAGAAATGTTAACTACTAAAAGCATTTTATAAAATTCTTAAAATACATACACATATCATGAAATTAAAAATTCAACTTAAAGAATACACCCTAAGAAAATACATACAGAGATTAATTTAGATGGATGATGACTGTAGCATTAATAATAATACAGAAAAATTAAAAACATGCTGCATATCTAACATTAGGAGACCATGTAGGAAGTGTAGTTATAAACATAACCTGGATGTCCACTATGTGTGAAGTTCTAGAGATACAGCCATGAACAAAAATTATATGTCCCTTTTCAGGAAAAGTTTACATTTTGGTGGAAAGGGAGAGACAATATAGAAAGAAAAAGAATTTCAGGTTGTCTTATCAAGGAAGTAAACAGGGTGATTTATCATAGTAAAGGTTCATTGGGAGAGCTAGTGCAGATGGAGTGGTTAGGAAAAATGTCCTTGAACATTTGATACTATAGCTGAGATCCAAAAGAGTCAATTAGAAAAAGAGTACGAGGAATATACGGTGGAAAGCAAGTGCAAGTACTAAGTCTTGAGCCAGGAAAAAGCTCAGCATGTTCCAAAAATAGTCAGAATATCATAGGGCCATTGTAGCCATGGTGTACTGTATAGATTTTATTCTAAGAGAAACAAGACCACTGAACGACTTAAGCATGGGATGACCTTGTCTGTTCAACTTTTAAAAAAATCACTCTGGCTCTCTTATGGAGAAAGGACAAAAGTAACAATGGAAGCAGATAGTTTAAATAGGAGGATACTACAATGGCAGTGGTGAGAAAGATGTGTGCTTGGATGAGCATGGAAGCAGTTGATGTGCAATGTAGACAGATTCTAAAAACATCTTACAAACACAACAAACAGGAATTGCCAATACACTGGATGTTAGGTATGAAGGAAGAGTAGGAAATAGGTATAAATCTACAGATTTTTATTTGAGCAACTGAATGAATGGGATACCTTTAGTAACTGGGAGAGAAACAGATTTGCAGGAGATATCAGGTGTTTGATAGAGATGTGAAATGTATATGGAAATCAAAAAGTGGAAACATCAAAGTGGAAATCAAAAAGTGAAAAAAGAGACACTGAAGGCTAGAGAAATGGCATCAGTTTATAGGTGGTAATTAAAAAAAAAAAAGACTTAGCTGAGACCATCCACACAGGGAGAGCATAAAAACAGATAAAGAAAAGAGCAATGACGGAGCTTAGGGCATGAAGAGAAAAGTCCTACAAAGAAAGCCGAGGGATCAATGATATAGTCAGAAAGCCAGACGAGTGAAGTACTCAAAAAAACACAATCTATCCTCTTTATTCCCAGATTCTTGTATACAAATTTGCCTCCTCATTATAATTTATTTGTAACCCGAAATCAATATTTGAGATTTTTAAAATTGTTATTTAGTGATTTGCACACAGTAGCGAAAGTCAAGATTTTTGATTGCCCAATACAACATGTTCCCAACTGAGGGAAACAAGGCAATAGCTCTCATGCTATAAATAAATGATATTTTTATGTTCTATGTGGTATGTAGTACCATTTTCCCCCATTTTTATGCTCTCTGTTGATGATTTCACTATTTAAAATGGCTTCCAAATGTCATGATGTCATGTTGAAGTGTTGCTAAGTGTAAGAAGGCTGTGATATGCCCTATGGAAAAAATACATGCTGGAGTGGCATCATTCAGGCATGAGGTACAATGCCGTTGACCGTGAGTTCAACATTAATGAAGCAACACTATATATATTACATAAGGTGTCTTTAAACAGAAATACACATAAAATGAGGTTTTGTATTGACTGATTGATGAAACTACTGTGACCAGAGGTTCACAGGAACCTAATCCTGAATTTACTGTAGAGGATATAATCAGTATTTCTTAAGTGTTTACGATGATTTCGATAGGACATAATTCAACTAACAAGAACTGAGCTTTTTTGTCCCAAAACTAAGAATTTGTCCATTTCATCTAGGTTGCTGAACTTTTTGCATACAAATGTTCACAGTAACCCTTTATTATACTCTGGATTTCTGCTATAACTTCTCTTTCATTTTTGACCCTATTTATTGAACTTTTCCCCTTTTTTCTGAGCCTGACTAGAGGTTTTTTAAATTTTGTTTTATTTATTTATTTATTTTGAAGAACCAGCTTTTGGTTTCATTGTTCTTTAGATTTCTATTTATTTCTTTTTTAATTTGTTATTATTTCCATCCTTGTACTAGCTTGTGAGATGAGAGATTAGGTTGTTTCTTCAGGCTTTTATTTTCTAAGGTGGGCCTGTATTGCTATATACTTTCCTCTTAGTACTATTTTATTATGTCCATAAATTCTGGAAGACTTATGGGAATTTATTTTATTATTTATTACTTTGGTAAATCTTTTACATATTATTATGGAAAAGTGAATGAATAAAATATGATTGTTCAGATACCTTTTCTTACTAAGAATAATCAGAATTAACAATGCAAGTATAGCACTGATATAAACTGTTTGGAAAATATTATATTTCTTGGTTGAAAGAAAAATACCATTTTTGAGAGCAACTTGATTAATTTATTATATGTATTAATTAAATAGAATCTCACTGTTGATGGGGATACAGACTGGTCCAGATCAAAAACAATATGGAGGTTTCTCAAGATATTAAAAATAGATCTACCATATGATCCAAGAATACTACTCCTAGGTATCTACCTAAAGAGTTATATGCGCTACTGTCTTCAGTGCAGCACTATTTACAATAGCTAACCTAAGTACCCACCCAAAGATGAGTGGATAAAAAAGATGTGGTATATTAACATAATGTAATACTACTCGGTGATAAAAAGATAAAATCTTGCAATTTACCACAGTAAGAAGAGGACAGGAGATTTAGCTAAGTGAAATAAGTCAAAAGGTGAAAAACAAATACCATATTATTTTACTCATGTGAAGACTATAAAGAAACAAGACAAAGGAATAGGGAAATATTTAAAAATTAAAAGAAAGGCCCTCCCTGGTGGCGCAGCGGGTTAAAGCACAGCACTGAGAATCTAAAGCCGCTTCCGCATGGGTTCGATTCCCGCCTGCCCCGGAGGTGACCACATGGCGTGGCAGACCTCTCCTGACCCGCCCGCTGCTCCCCTCAGCAGTGTACTTCGTCGATCTGCCTGTTCTGCTCCCCTCTCTGTCTCTGGTGAAGCCTCTCGCCGCCCCTGAGCCTCTGGCCTGTACCCCAGTTCTGTATGCAAAAATAAATAAATCTTTAAAAAAAAAAAATTAAAAGAAAATACCCTGAAATATGACTGAACTGAGGGTGGGTAGTAGCAGTAGGGAATGAGAAACAGAGGGGGCAGGGGCTCTAATGGATTATAGTGGAGGACTGTTGTTGCTTTGATGGTGGGTATAGTGTGGTAACATACATTTGGAGTGGTGTCATCCTATATCCCTGGAACATATAGTAATACAAACCACAATAAAAGTAATTTAATAACTTTAAAAGATTACATATTTCAGTTCCTGATGATTACTGATGAAACAACTAATTACCTAATCTTCACCAAAATGTTACAGAAGCAATGTTTTCACAATTATGTTCACTGAAACATTAGTTTTACAGGACGTTAATACGTGTTAGGGATAAAAACTAGGTGCCATAGTAAAATAGGTTTGGAACACTTAGCTTAAATAAAATTAACTAAAGCCCTTACTATGCCAATCTTTTTATGTGTATCCAAGAGGAAGTTATCATATATAAGATTTTCCAAGCCTATTCAATCATGAAAATTCTTTTATTGTGCATATTAAATATTTTCAGAATAGAAAACTGGTTTAGGAAACAATAATATAACAAATACTACATTGTGAGTGTTAAGAATAGTCACTCTAGGCTCTCCCTTGTGGTGCAACTGGTTAAAGCACCACTTTCTGAAGCTCTTCGAAGTCACTGCAGCATGAGTTCGATTCCCTGCCAGGAAGCTGACCCACATGGTGTGGCAGACCTCTTCTGACCCACCCACTGCTACCCTCAGCAGTGTTCTTTTGTCAATCTGCTTGTTCTGCTCTCTACTCTGTCTCTGGTGAATCTTTTCACCCACCACACTTCTGGCCTGTACCCCAGTTCTGTAAGCATAAATAAATAAATCTTAAAAAAAAAACTATAAAAAAAGAATAGTCACTCAAATGTATTAAAACCCTTTAATACTGTGCACAGATATAGCTTTTTATATTAATCTCTTTTTTTTTAAATGAATGCCCCTATTTTTAAAAGTTACATTTTTTGTAAGAAACTCCTAAGTCATGGTTTGTACATTAGAACCCTGCTTAATAACATAAGATTAGAAATCAGTAGCAATAACCTGGATCCTAATGAGGAATTTCCAAAATACCCAGTATAAAGAAATGTTTTATATAAAGGGTGCTAAAAAATAGAACTTTCCCCACAAGGAAAGTTGAGGCTGCTGCAAAACACAAGTTTCCCCAAACATGCATACTATAGCCCCAAATAGAATTGTCCAATAGAGGAAATGGTTCATATTTGTACAACACAGTAATGTCAGCCTGGAGCTGCTGAACACCTGAGAATGAGAAATGACTATTTAATCTTATTTAATTTTAATTACTTCAAATTGAAATGGACATTTATAACTATGCCTAATGTATTGTACATACAGGTCAAGAATTATGGCCCAGAGAATATCACTGCAATATAGAGGTTTCACTTGTGCATGGCCTGTACCCCAGTCTGTAAGCATAAATAAATGAATCTTTAAAAAAACTATAGGCCCTCCCTGGTGGCGCAGCGGGTTAAAGCACTGCACTGAGAAGCTAAAGCCACTTCCGCATGAGTTCGATTCCCGCCTGCTCCAGCGGTGACTACATGGCGTGGTAGACCTCTCCTGACCTGCCCGCTGCTCCCCTCAGCAGTGTACTTCATAGATCTACCTGTTCTGCTCCCCACTCTGTCTCTGGTGAAGCCTCTCGCCGCCCCTGAGCCTCTGGCCTGTACCCCAGTTCTATATGTACAAATAAATAAATCTTTTAAAAAAAAACTATAAAAAAAATAGTCACTCACATGTATTAAAACCCTTTCATGCTGTGCACAGATGTATCTCTTAATATTAATCTCTCTTTTTGGTCCTTTTTTTTTCTTTCAAATTAATGCCACTATTTTTAAAAGTTACCTTTAAACTTAAGTCTACAGTTTCAGTGTGTCACTACTGACACCCAGTGAATATAGCTAGTGAAGTAGCAGTTCTCTAAACAAACTCATATGTAACAGAATAAAAATACTACTTAACACAAAGACTACAAAAACAGGGTATCTTTGTAAGTCTTTTATTTTAGACTTTAAACTTTTTGCCCTGTATATAGCTTTACTATGAATCCAAACAGTTTCTAAAATTAGTCTGAATAAAACTTTACTATTTTATTTTATCATGTGATTAATTTATTACTATTTTTGCTATTTCTTGCACAAAACATTTTGGCTTTTAATTTATGGATGTGGCATTTTTTTCTATAGATTTTCTAAGAAGCATCATTTGAAAAAAAGGAAAAAGTCAATTAGCCTTTTGGATATTGCCTTCAACTTCAAGAGGCAAAATTGGCATAAAAAAAATCTCTAAACAACTTTTCTGTTGATGACAATTTTATTACATACAACTCAGTATAAAGAAAGAAGTCAAATAGGAGAAAGATGTGATATATGTTTTATATACCTAGTGAAAGAGAACATGTTGCTTTAATCATTAATAGATATCATATGTTAATGATAGTCAAACATTTCAGTTCTTTTTCTTTTAGTGTTGAACAAAGTAGCACAAAAAGAACATGATATTAACATTTCATTTGGACTTACGTAATTATATCTTTATCCAGCTTCTCTTGAGACTGAGTACAGTTCCGATAGTTTGCTGTAAAATAGTTGTACAAATTATAAAATAAATTAATTTTCAGTTGGTTATCCAAAACTAACTTGGTGAATTCTCAGGAAAATAGATGAAACACAATGAGTTTGTGATCATCATATTTTCTGTCTTTAACCTATGATCTCAAGAAGCACTTATACGAAAAAAATAAAAATTACAAGGAAATATTAATCATGTAGTTCATGACAGAAAAACCTTTTAGGACATTCTTCATTGCAGGTAAAGGTTGTATAAATAATAGTAACAGAACTATCCTTTTCTGATTTAAGAAAAGCAAGAACACATATAAAAGTTTTAGAACTGGTAATCACTGAAAAAAGCTCACTGAAATATATTGCCTATACAAGCATAGTAAATAGTGAAGTTGTAAAGTAGTCCTTGGATTACAAGTTTATTATATAAACTTTTTTACATAGCTTATGTAAAAAATACAACACACTTTAATTAGTTTTCCAAGGTTGTAAATTTATCAATTTAATAGAGTGATCTACATCTATCAACTTTCTTTCTCAAAACTCTATAGTAAATATTTGAAATAAATTGAAGACATATGACACTTCATCTCTTATAAAACTATAACATCATATATAGTAATATCTGTGACTTTAATTTATATGCAAATAATTATCTTTCCCTTATTCCATTTCTGGAAATCTGGTAGGAAAATTTTAAAGCAGCTTCTTATAAATATGACAATCAAGAGTAGAAATATGAAAACCTAGCAAATGTTTTAATACTAATAGAGAATAAACATTGTGTCCAACAATGGTATATAGGATCACATAGGCAAAGCATAATTTCATTATGGAGGTTATATTAATGGTGACAACAATTGCAAAACTTCAGTGCTGACACAAAAATGATAGCTATTCTTATTTTCATTGGTAAGGGCAAATAGTTCACCTTCATTATCTTCCAGAAAACCAGTGGTTAGAAAATTGAGGACATACTCTTTAAATCTCCTTAATAAAATATAATACATCATTAATATTTATGTAATTGTCTAAATCTTTATCAAACCTCTTTATATGTTTACCACATTTTGTAAAAAACAATACAACTCAAGAAATCTAAAGAAGTCTTTAAGCAAAAAAACAAAAGTGAAAATTCACAGTATTACCAGTCAGCTATAAACTTCTCATCGTAAATATAGGAGGAAAGGTAATCAATTAAAGAATAGATCTAATAAGAGGAGTTTATCCTTATTTTCCTCTCCTCTTTTTCCCCTCCCTTTCTGTCATATAGTCAGAGAGAGAGTGAGAAACATAGCTTGCAAGTTAATGAATAGTTGCTCAGTTAATCAGTTGTGCCATTTGTTTAACAAAGAGAATGGGATCCTTAATTTCTATCATTAGAATATAAAAAAAATTAACAACTATGAAGTAGGAAATAGTTATATGAAAGGAAATGGAAACACTAAATTTATTCCACTCAAACTAGAGTGGGACACTTAAAAAGATTAGGCTTTGGGTAGGAAACAAGAGGGTATAAATAAATAAAGTCAAGTAGGGCATACTATATAAAGGTATACTGCAAAAAGCTAGGTTAATATTTTAACGATAGTTCAGGCTTAATGAGACAGTTTTTCCAGCAACAATAAACTGTTGCAAGAGTGCTTTGTAGTGTGTAAGATGGGAGGAAGCATGTAAAATTAGGGAAATATCAATATTTACGATATTCACAAGATAAAAGACATAACTACTATATTACTGTATAGAAGAATTGTTGGAATTTATATATTGAGAATGACCCCCTAAAAATATGACCCGAAATAGGATGCTACAAAGGTAATAATATATGGGGGATATCTATAATTATGGGAAATACAAAATACCATCTCCCCTACATCTGACTGCTAGGTTCCCCTATATTGTTACTATTTGTAGTATCGGATTTTTCTGCATATTCTTTTCTGCATTATGTTCTACAGTGGTATGTACAAAACACATCTGTATACTATCAATCTGAGTAGCTATCAAAAAGATTTAGTCATTCTTGATTTCTTTTTAAAGGTTGCTTCACAGTTAAGTGGTCTGGAATGGCTTAAGGTTTTTATTAAATACTGATATAATCATCAGTTCTGATATAAAAGTATTTGAATTCTTATAGAGACAAACTGTACTACTGTGGGTCTCAGATGATTTATACACCATTTATATACAGTGGGTCTCAGATGATATATATACCACATCATATTTGGTATGATGCGGTGGCTAACTTTTTTGGTCTGGGAACACTAGAAATTTTTTCTATATAAATTAATGGTAATTGTATATTCATCTTATATCATTGTGATTTACAAAGATTTCATAGGAACACTCTACTTTCAGATAAGAGAAACCTGCACAGTATATATAAATCTATATAGATTATATATTTGTGTGTATATGTATTCTATTAGTCCTGTTTCTTTGAAGAGTACTGATTGACATACAGATTTTGGATTTTTAGTCTCTGGTAAGATAGAATAAATGACAAATGCATATTATATAGACACTGTTTGATGGTACAATAATATATTATGTGCTGTTTGTTTTGTTTAATACTTTTGAGACCCAACAATTCAAAAAAGTAAACTGTACTCACTTGTGTTAACTTTGACTAGACATCCACCGATAAGGTTATCACTCATTTCTCCTAAAATCAGTGACATTACAGGCAGACAGGCTCCATTTATAAGTGATGCCAGTAACCCTAAAATCATGAGTGTGATGTCCAGTCCATCAGCAAAGCGAAACTGAAGAAACAAATAAAACATGGTTAACTTGATAGCAATTAAAAAAAAAAAAGTCAACCTATGTTTTTGCTATCATGTAAATATCATTTTACAAACTGATCAAGGGAATATTCAATGTATTAAATTATGGGCATTTATAATGTTAAAAAACTCCCTGATCTTAAGGATTTATAATATACTTTGACTAAGTTACTGAAAAATAAAGTAACAAAATTAGTATACAAATTGTGTGACATAGGAAGCCTATGAGGATTACAACTGAGATGAAAAAGGCACAAAATGAAGAATGATGTAGAAAATTTAAAAAAAAACAAAAACAAATTGTGTGACAAAAGTCAGGTAAGATTTGTCTATGAATGAGAAATATCCTTTTATAATGTTGATTCTAGAATAAATTAAGATATTTCAAAGGATTTCCTATCTTGGCTTATGGAAAGTTAATCTAAAAACTTCCAATTTTTTTAGGCTTATCAGCAATAGCACAACCAAGCAGTGAATAGTAAAAATTCATTCACCAAGTGTAAATTAATTGTATTTTTAATATTTCTCTGCTTTTTTTTCTACCAAGAATAACATCCTATAAATAAGTATATTTATTTGCAAGGCTATTTAAGATAACTGAAAGCCAAATACTGACTGCTTTATATTTTGTCCTGTAATAGGTTCCCACAACAGTATTCTAAACCAAAACATGAAAACATGGATTTTACTTTCTTACTTAGAGAACTAAGACAAAATATAAATTGGTATAAAATGAAATCAGATTTGAATAACAATAAAAGGAGTTAGTACATATTTTTGAGAGGAGACAAAAATGTTATGTTTTTATATTCATTCATTTAATAGCTAACACATTTATAGAGTAACTGCCTTAGTTGGCATTAAAAATTTTTACTACAGATGATAAGAGGGTAACTGCTTTCCACCTTTCCCTGGAAAAGTGTGTTATTTTCTTGATAAAGTTTATTGCAGTCTGTTACTTCTCAGGTTTGTAAGATTTGACTTGGAAAAAAATACACCATTTTACGTATATTTCTACATACAGTTCATTATATAGAATTACACAATCAGGCTGACATGTTGTAGATTCGAGTAGGTAGAATGGTTGAACAAATATATAAAAATATTTCTAACTTAATCCCAAAGAAGTATGCTGATACACTTTTTTTGATGCCTAGGCTGTACAAAATTTTTAGATAAGTATTTTTTATTTTAAAAAGGAATTATGGAATTTTAAATGTAATTAAAACACATCAGTGGAAAATAATGAACTGTATATATGCATGGTAAAGTCACTCAAAATGCTCTATCAGTCTGGAAATAACCTTTGATAAAATGCATGTATGACATACATACACATATACATTTCATTCAAACTGGGAAATCTATGGATATCGTGTGATTTTTTTCTTCTATCTTATTGTGGGGTTTTTGGGTTGTTTACATATTTTTTCCTATTAGAAATACAATTTGATGAGTTTTTTTATTCTTTTACCCAAAATAGATATAAACTAACAGATACAATCTTTCTATATACTACTAACAATTCCCTGAAATTTTCTGATAGATTGATTTCACTTACTATCTCAATAGGACCAACGACTTGCTTTCTTACTTGGGGTGGTTCTTGCAACTTCCTGGAAAATAAATGTTTAAAGTGCAAAGTTTATAATGTGAATATAATTTGCATTATATGATGATATCCTTCCCTGGAGAGTAAGTTGCACTGGCTGTCCCTACCTTAGTAAGGGTAATAATGGAAGAACTCTAGGTCTTTATTATATTGTCATAAAATATACATAATAAAGAATTGGTTATCTTGAGTAATTTTCAGTATACAGTTCAGTGGCATTAGGTACACTCATATTATTGTGCTATCATTACCAGTATCCATTTACAGTACTGTATCTTGCAAAACTGAAATTCTGTAACTATCCCATTAAAGAGTATCTCCCATTTCCACCCAACCTCTGGCTACCATCAATCTTTCTGGCTTTATTTTATTTATGTACCACATTTTTGTTTATCTATTCCTCAGTCAAGAGACACTTGGACTGTTTCCACTATTGTACTGTTGAATAATGCTGCTATTAAGACAGGTATACTAATATTTCTTCAAGTACATAACTTCAGTTCTTTTGGGTATAATCAAAATTACAATTTCTGTATCATATGCAAATTTTATTTTTTTCTTGAGAAACTATCATACTGTTTTCCATAGCATCTGAATCATTTTATATTCCCACAAATTATGTACAAGGGTTCCAATTTTGTTACATCCTCACAAACACTTGCTATTTTTTGTTTCATTTTATTATAATAATAAAAATAGTAACCATCCAAAGGTTGTGAGGTGGTGGATTAGAATTTCTAACCCATTGCTAAAAACTATGAGTTTTACATAAAAGAAATTCTACATTAAGCAAGAGTACAGTGAGTTTGGTCTCCTCCTCCTTAACAATTTCAGTTCTTAGGTTCCATTTCAAGATGAAAATGGTAAGTTTCATCTGACAATTAAACACATGCACCCAACACATACACTCAAAAAAATTCTGAAACATTAAAGGAAGAGAGGAAAGGGATCACAGTAAATTTTATAAGAAAGACGTCACAGAAAGATGAACTTGAGTCTTTTCCAACTTTATAACTTATCGTTCCATCAACTTTGATCAATGGCAAGTCATTTAATTTTGTTCCACCTGAAGTTAATAATTTACTTATGTATTGGACCATTTCTTTCTGAGATGATTCATAGATGACAAAAAAGATTTTAAGATTGCAAAGCCCTCTTCATCCATTCCATCCTAAATGCATATTTTAAAGTTTAAACACAGTAAGCTCTCTTCTTTTGATAAATTTTGTTTTAGCGAACATTTGTTTCTCATTGACCTTTATGGAAATCCTTCAAAGGAGGGTACAGGTGGTCTTTTAACTCCTTTCTACCAGTGTTAAGAGCAGAGGAGAGCACATGGGCTGGTATGGTAGGAGCATCATACCATTCTGGTTACCAGAAACCCTTCATTCATTAATCAAGAGATCTAGGTGAATGTTCTCCAGCTTTGCGGTTCATACATCGAAATGTGACACAATTGTTATGGGGAATAGAAATAAAATAGATTTTAATCCATTTCCATTTTAAATATCTAAATTAATGGGACTTTATATATAGGTGTGTGTATATCTATACATATATATGTAGGTGTGATAAATTTGTAAAATACATAATCACAGATATTCAATGAAAAAATAATCAGCATCCAGCATTTTATTTTACTAAGTGTAACATATAGAATAAAAGATTCATGGAGAAGTGAAATGAAATCACTTAGGGATTTTTTTTCTAAAGAAAGCCACAAGAAATTGAAAAGAGGACATATCTGAGGTATTAAATCAACTTCCTAAAATTAATATTAAGCCAGTAACACTAATTATGCTGATGTCCAGCAAAATGCAAATAGTATTCCTATTTTCTGAAAAAAAAAAAAAAAACAGTAAACATTTTTGCTAATCTGTGGAAAGAATAAGGTATATTTGAAAATGCAGAATACTTTTTGAAGAATTTAAGCAAAACTTACTCATTTTTCTGATAGTTTTCTTGCATCTCATCAGCTCTTTCAGAACTTTCCATCTTGTTTATAATTTAATTGTTCTGTAATGAAATATTTACAAATATTGTGACTATATGAGAACTTATCAGTAAGTTGACAGAAAGCTTTTTTTTCCCTAATAGCTTCTGAAATATGATGCTGCTCAGTTTATTCTACCTCTCTTCTCCCCTCTGCAACTGAAGTATGCATAGGTACTTCATCAATCCGATAGCTTTTATTACTGATTTTAAAACTTCTTTGACTATTCTTTCCTTAGGTTAGTGAATAGAAATTCTAGAGACAGAAAATAAAACAGGAAGAAAGCCATAATCCAGGTAGAATGCATGGTTTTTCAGGGCAGTGGATTTATTTCTACTCTGCCACTCATTCGACTATAAATGATTAAAACCTTTAAGGTATCTAGGCTTTGTTTTCTCTATAAAAAACTGATTCAGTTGTTTCTCACAGTCAACACTTTGAGGCAGTAAGGTTCTTTAGTTCACTAAATTAGAGCTTCAGTCATAAAAAAATAGAATATTATGAAGACCTAGTGAACATTAACATTTTTAAGGATAATAAATATTCTTCTTTAATTTGGCATTTTATAATCTTACCTTGTTATAAGATCGCAATACATTATACATTATAATGTACAGAGATATTTTTTACTCCATCTCATTTGTTAGACCATACATATGGCGATGATTGTTAACTTTAGAGTATAATTAGTAATTAATTAAATCCTACCAAGGAATCTCAAAAAAATCAATTAATTTTCAAATGGTAAGTTTCTCTATGAAGTACTATGTCCCAAAGTGTCAGTAATATTTTTAGCACCTGTAAAGAAGTTATGATACAAATACATTGGCATAACTTTCCTTTTCCTGAAACTAATGGTCATAACTTTACATAGGAATAACTACAATAACTATACTGACTTTATACCATTTGTAGTTATTTGACAAGTGAAGGAAAGTATTAAATTCTACCAATCTTTTGAATTTTAAAATTCATAAATTTAAAAAAAAACATTTGAAACTTACCTTGGTAAGTATATAATCTGTTCATTTACACTAAAAACATAGTTTCTCTCTTCAACAAATAACCAGCTGCACTCTTGAAACTCTTTTCTCTGCTCGTGCGGTAATATCTGATAACAATAATGGTGAATTTTCTGGCAAAAGCACACTATGTTCTTCACGTCATACTGCATTGGGAAACAAGATGAGCAAAGAGAATTCGCTGTGTCAAATAAACACTCTTTTGAAGTATCTGTATTATCTACATACTTAGTTTTCTGTTGTTGGTTACGCAATATTCTTTAGCTAGTTTATTATTATAGTACTTGAAATAACTAAAATACATCTCTTTAGCATTGTCAATGGCACATTTTTACAACAAATATTCTTTGAGTAATGTTATATACAGGACATTCAATTACCTCATTGATGCTACTGAAAACAACAAATATTCTTTGAGTAATGTTATATACAGGACATTCAATTACCTCATTGATGCTACTGAAAACAATCATCTATTTCTGATTTCCTTTTGTGCTTTGTTCATATCTATAATATGACACATTTTACCTTTTGTTTAATTCCAGTTATATTTATTCATGAACTCACTGAACAAAGCACTGAGCTTATATAATGTGTCAAATACTAGTTTATAAAAATGGAAATGCATTTCCACTTCCGGAGGAATTCAAATGTCTTATTGTGTCCCTCTATTCCAGTGCCTTGTTACTCAGTGTACACCCAAGACCAGCACCATCACCAATAATTAGGACCTCGGTTAAAAACACAAAATTAAAAACAAAACAAAAATGTTTTGAATTGTGGCAAGACAAACATAAAGCAGCATTTTAACCATGTTCAAGTTATAATTTAGTGGCATTAAATACATACACAATGATATACATTCATCACCAGTATGGAACTTTAATCATCCCAAACTGAAACTCGGTATGTAACATTCCTATTCCTGCTTCCCTCAAATCCATGGGATCACTATTCTACTTTCTGTCTCTATGATTTAGCCATTCTAAGTAGCTCAGACAAAGAGAATCACACAATATGTGTCCTATTATGTCAGGCTTTTTTCAGTTACTATAAGGTTTTCAAGGTTTACCCCAGTCACAGAATATATGAGAATTTCATTCATTTTTTAAGGCTAATACTGCTTTATTGTGTATATATAATACATTTTTGCTTATCTGTTCCTCTGTTGATGGACATATGGATTGTTTCCACCTTTTGATGATTGTGCATAATGCTGCTATGAACACTGGTGTACATGTTCCTGTTTGAATACCTACTTTCAGTACATTTGTGTATATACCTAGAAGGGGAAAACAGAGATTCCAGAGCAACTTTATATATATTTACCTGTCCGAGGAACTGCCCAACTGTTTGTCACAGTGACTGTGCCAATTTACATTCCCATCAACAATGCACATGGGTCCAGTTTTCCACATCCTCGCTAACACTTGTTATTTTCTGGTTTACTGATAATAGTAATCCTAGAAGGTATGAATAGTATCTCACTGTGTTTTTAAATTACATTTTCCTAATCAATAGTGATTTGAGGACCTTAAAATATATTTAACGACCAATTGGGTATCTTCTTGCATAAATGTTTATTCATATCAGTTGGTCATTTAAAAAATTATTATGGTAGATGAGTTGTGGGGTATCTCCTGGATATTAAACTCTTATCAGACATTAAGGTTTGCAAATATTCTCTCCCATTCTATGGGTTGTCTTTTCAGTCATTGTCCTTTAATGCACAAAAGTTTTAAATTTTTATGAAGTCAAATATATATATTTTTTCTTTAATTCCTAGTATGTTGGTGTAAAAACCAAGAAACTGCTGAGTCCAATGTTATAATGCTTTCCCCTATGTTTTCCTCTAAAAGTCTGAAGTTTAGTACTTATATTTAGGCCTTTGACTCATTTTCAATACATTTTTATGTGGTGCAATATAAAGGGCATATCTTCATTTTTTTACAATCACTGCTAAGATGTAGAAAGCAACTAAATTTGCTTTATATCCCATATACTAGGGAGGTCATATGATATTTACCTTTCTTTTTAAAAATAATTTCTTTAAGCTCATGTATTACACTCACAATTCATCCAAGTTGCTAAAGGTGACAGTATTTCCTCCCAATTTTGTTGAATAATACTCCATCATCTACATCTGCCACATTTTCTTTATCCATTTATTTCCATGTCTTAATTACTGTAAATAATGTTGCAATGCACATAGGAAGTACAGATCTCTGTTTAATATAGTGATTTCATTTCCTTTAGATATGTATACAAGAGTGGAATTGCTGGATCACATAGTAGTTCTATTTTTGATACTTGGAAAATCTCCATACTGCTGTCCATAGTGGCTGTATGGAATTATGGTTTACTTTTTATTGAAAACATTTGACACTTAACATTTTATAAATTTCAGGTATACAATGTGTTACCTGATACACTTATGCATAATAATATGATAACATTTATAGTTATATCATGCTACAGATTTTAGTATAATATTATAGTCTGTATTCATTTTATGCTACATCAGAATTACTGTAGGTCATCTACTAGTCATTGCAAGTTTGTACTGTTGAACAATATCAATCTTCTCTTTCTGCCCCTACCCTCAATCCCTGGAAGCCACCATTATGCTGTTTTTCATGAGTCTGACATTTTTTTAAAGATTACATATATAAATTATACATATAATTTTATATAATACTTATATTTCACTTTCTTTTAAAAATTCATTTCATAACTGCAAAATTTTTAATTCCTCCCGAACTATTGAATAGAATCCTCATTTCAACAAGATTCTCCAGATCTTTTGCATGCATGTCATGCACAGCTCTACTGTATCTATCATAAAGTCTTCACAAAGAGAAGGCACTGATTTTTTAGTAAGACACATGTGTTAGTAGCAGTTTTACTTTTTTTCCTAAGGATATGAAAAGTAAATTTCTAAATTCAGAGCAAACTACTAACAAAATGTTCTTACTATCCATGCATGGTTTATAAGTCGGATCAAAGGACTTCTGGCATCAGAATCTCCTGGAGTGCCTGTTTATTAAAATCAGACTCATATACCTTATCCTTCATGTACTTAATAAAATTCTAAAGTAATGTGGTAAAAAATATTTTCAACAGGCCAAATGATGATATTTTTCACCTATGCATTCTGTAAAGTATGTTTTGTCAGGTACTCTTCCAAGTATTAAATAGTCTAACACTCTCTGCTGCCAAGAAGATTACTATACTTTGTTATAGGGAGACCTTCACACTTTTAACAGGAGATATACATAAATAAGAATAATATAACAGTGATAACTAAAACATTACACTACAGTATAGTTGTCTCTTATTCTTTCTCCCATTACTGTTAATGGGTGAAAGAGTAAGAGTCAGCTGTACTGTCTAGTCAGGGAAAACCTCTTCTAGAAGGCAATGTTTAGAGTGAATGCTGAATTAAAAGAAGGAGGTTTGTCATGTAAAGATAAAGAAGAGTATCAGGCAGAACATAGATTATACAATAGAAAAAAATAGTGCATTGAGACAGGGGGACAAAAGATGAACCTAAGTCATGTGACAGTGAGGTTATCATTATATGGGAAGATACAAATTAGCCAGGATGGCAGTCTCTTTGCCTCTCTATCGCCCAATGTTTTGAAATTAAATTGCATGAAACATGTCAGGTGACAAAATCAGGTAGTAATATCAAACAATGAGTGATGTGAAAACACAACTCTTTAACGTCTTACTGGCCTAAATGACAATTGTCAGCTAGTCCTTACACATTGTTAACTATGTAAGGGTTTGATGGTAAGTTCTATAGAGGGAGCAAAGAAATGTAAAAGTTGGAAGACTGATTTTGTAATTCTTTTTTTAAACAAAACTTTTCTGTTTCATATGTTAACACAGAAATTCATGATATATCATTGTAAGAAGATATCTTCTGAGTGAGTGACAATTTTCAAGTGTGCTTGGGAAAAATATGATGCATAGCT